ACCTGCATAAATTTCAAAGTAAAGTTGGTACAGAAAAGTACATTAAGTATAATGCAGAATGTTGATATTATTGATTAATAACAAAATTATATTTTGAAGAAGGCGAATTAAATTAAAAAAACAATTAAATTAATGTACAACGTAGTTCAATTAAACATATGTTGATTCTATATATATCTATATATATATATACATATAGAATTAATGCAACCTAAATTCTAATGAATTTGACAAAAAAATGCATTAACAATGGTGATACTAATTTAATTCGACAAATAATTATATAAGATATTGTTAATAAAAAAATTACATCGTTTCAGAGATGATCATGTTTTTTAAGATTTTATTTATCATCAATGGAACAAATGAATCATGTTCATACACATGTGGGTTAATTTTACACAGTAAACTGCCATAAGGGATTAATAATCAAAACAGAGTAAATTCTGGATTAACTTAAGGATAAATGTTGATTTATGCTTTAAATTTAAAAAATAAAGATTTATACTCCTATTAGCGGTTGACCTAATTAAAATGGGATTTACAGATTACCGTGCATGTTATACTAAGAATAACATCATTTTAAGTAGTAATCAATTAGCAATTTGCATGCATTTATATAAGAGAATCTCATTGGTGTAGTTTACAATTAGTAAGAAAAAACACTTATCTAACAATAGTAGTTGATGATTACCTTGAAACACTGATCGGCCAACACAGAAGCCGCCTGAGAGCTCGAAAACGATGATCGGTTGCGGTGGAGTTCTGTGGAGATGTGGCAGCTTGTTTCGATTGTTGTGTTGGTGGTTGCTTTGTAGATCTGCGTAAGCTTTTGGAATTAGCGGCGAAGAAGAAAGATGGAAGCTGGGGTGATTGGGGCTGCTGAATTTGCCGATGGGCGTAAGCTTTTGGAGTAGCGACGAAGAAGAAAGATGGAAGATGGGGAATTGGGGCTGCTGAATTTGCCGATCGGGTGGGGGGCTTGTCTTTTTGTAAATTGAGTTTTGGGCTGTTGGGCTAGGTTCTGGGCTATTCGACTAGGATCTGGACTAATTCAGATCATGCTTTATATATTGGAAATTTTTCACAAATAGACCAAAAAACAAAAATAATACTCCCTCTATCCTATATTTAACTCCAGTTTTGACCGGGCACGGGTTTTAAGATAGTGAGATTTGTGTGGTGGAGAGTTATGCAGAGGATAGAGAAATATGTAAGAATGGTTGTGAATCACATATTTTTTACCAAAAAGGGAAAAAGGAGATAAATTTGGGACGGACCGAAAAGGAAAGAATGAAGATAATTCCGGGACGGAGGGAGTATCACTTTTTTCAGTTTTCAAGTTTCCTTTCAAAAATAGACATATTAAACATTTCTTTTGATAAATAGCTTAACTCATACGAAACAGTTGAAACCCATTTAAAATGTTAAAGGCCGAAGGACAGGAGGTCTAATCCTCAATTCCTCACCATTGTACCGTACAGTGCTATGTACATAGACTTTGGATATTAACTTCAGATTTGTAAACACTCCGTATAGCTATTCTTGTTTTGAAATTTCTTGTCTTTTTAAAAACAATTGTTAAAGGTTACTTTGTATTAAAATTTAAAATATGATAATAATTCGGAAACAATAAAATTCAAATAACTAAAAGTTGAAATATAAATTAAAAAGGAAAAAAACTCAAATCAAAAAATAAAAAATCAACAAATGCGTAATAAAAATGGAAAATTTGAAACTTGTAAATCAAATTTTACCAATAGAAAACAATGTAATTTAAGTTTTGAAAAATAAATAAGAAAAATTAACGAGTATAAAAATTGAAAAATAAGAAGTTAGAAATTTAGAGTTAGTCTAAAATGTGGGAAAACTACAAAAAAATGACATAACTTTTTTAAATATTTAAATACTCCATAAATTATATCAAAATATAAACTCAAAAATATAAATAAATCAAAAGTTTAATAAATGGGTCTAAATATGGTTAAATACCCTAAAAACCTGCAAAATACAAGGAAAAAATGTAAAATAAGGAAAACATGTTTTAGAATTATTAAAATATGAAAAGTAACTAGAAAGTTTTATCAAAGTATTTTCTCAAATCGGAATACCGTATACACATAAGTCTACAATAACACATAAATTTTGAAAAAAAATAAAAAAATCAAGTCAAACTTTATAAAGTAAAATGAAATTGAAGGATATAAATCTTAAATTTTATAAAATAAAAACCTTAGTATAAATAAAAATGTTTTAAAATATAAAAGCTAGAAAAATAAAAAATGTTTAAATTTCAAAAAGTAGACACGTTAAAAATATTAAAAGCGGGAAAATGAAGTTTGTAATTTAGTTTTTCAAAAATGTTACTTTTTGTAGCATATTGTTTCTTTGTGTTTCTTTTTGTTGATAATTTTATAGTGTTGATTTTTGTTGTTTCTGCATGCTTCTTGTTGTTGCTAATATTCATAAACCGAAAATTATGATTATGTATATGTGTGTGCGTGTGTTACTTTTTGTAGCATATTGTTTCTTTTTGTTGATAATTTTATAGTGTTGATTTTTTGTTGTTTCTCCATGCTTCTTTTTGTTGCTAATATTCATAAATCGAAAATTCTAATTAGGGAGAACTATCAAATAAGCCCTCGAACTTTCATAAAAAGTACAAATATGCCCTTTTATAGGAGGCTCTACCCGGACGTCGCCATTTGGGGTGGTTTCCGGTGGATTCTTTTTATGAAACTTTTTGAGAATCTTCTTCATTGAGTCTAGTTTATTCATACCAAATTTTAGCTAAATATTCAATATGTAAGGCAGTCAAATGAATTTTTGAAGATAACTGCGCAGTTAGGCAACGCAGTATATTTCAGAAAATCATTTGACTACCTTCTCGATTGAATATTTAGCTGAAATTTGGTATGGGTAAAGTATACTTAATGAAGAAGATGTTCAAAAAACTTCATCAAAAAATTATACCGGAAACCGCCCTAAATGGCGACAGCCGGACAAAGCCTCCTGTAAAATGGCTTATTTGCACTTTTTATGAAAGTTTGAGGGCTTATTTGATTGTTCTCCCTTCTAATTATGTATGTGTGTGTGCGCGTTACTTTTTGTAGCATATTGTTTCTTTGTCTTTCTTTTTGTTGATAACTTTTATAGTGTTGTTTTTTGTTGTTTCTCCGTGCTTCTTGTTGTTGCTAATATTCCTAAACCGAAATTTATGATTATATATACATATGTATGTGTGTGTATGTACGTGTATATATATATATATATATATATATATATATATATATATATATATATATATATATATATATATATATATAAAGTAATGAAACAACAAGAAACAACAAACGAAATAATAAGCAACGCGGTGCAACAACAAGAAACACGATGCAACAATAAATAATGAAATGCGGGTGTGTGCACATCTAGTATTTACAAAAGATATCTACAATAACATCAAGATATACTTGCGTATTACCGATTATAAGTCATTTCTAAAAGATTCAAACTCCACAAGAGCAACAAGAAATTGAACAACAACATTAAGCAAATTCTTGGAATTTCGTCAATAGAGAAAGAGAAGGTGCTATGATTGAAATAATACTCCGTAATATTTAGCTAAGAACCATTAAAATTCAATCAAGGGAATGCAATGGCCCTAACTAGGGGTGGGCATGAAAAACCGTAACCGACTAACCGTACCAAATAACCGAAAAACCGGTGTTTTTTCGGTTAACCATACCGCATTTTTAAAAAATAATTGTACGGTTAACCAACCAAAAGAAAGGAACGCTACATGGTACGGTTACGGTTTTGAAATCAAACTACCACCGGTTAATCGATAATCTAAACTAATGTCACAATCGGTGACAACACGTGCGTTAATATCATCGAGTAAGTATTAATTAGAGTTGAGCAAAAAGTGGTGCTTCATTGGGATTGAGCTATTACATTATTATTATTACTATTATTAATTATTTATTTAATTTGGCATACTGTATTATCACAATTGAGGTAATCATTTATTTAATTTGGAGTAAAAACGCTTTGAAATTCCAAAATATGAGTATCATGTTTTTTATTCCTTAAATAAGAGTAATCTGCCAAGTTTGGAAAAAAATGTCATGTTTAAAAGCCCAGTAATGCCAAATTTGGCAGAAATTTACTCCTATTTAGGAAATAAAAAACATGATAGTCCTATTTTGGAATTTCAAAACTTTTTTACTCCTATTTAGGGAATTTACTCTTTGTTTAAACCTACTCCTGGAAATACTATATATGCACGGTTTTAGTACATGCGGAGTAATAATTAATAATACGAGTATATGGGAAAACCTTGTACCATGTACGTACTCTTGTTAGTCTTACATGCGTTTCAATAATATCAAATCATCAACGGGAGCCTATGTCTGATTCATACGGGAGAATGAAATCTCTGGGAGTGAATTAGATGAGCAACATAATCGTATGTTGCATTAAACCCATTGGCTGACACACAAATGAACCGTATATGTACAATTATACAAGGTTGCATTTTTTTAGTTGTTCAAATGGGTTTTTGGTTAACCAATGAATGGTTAACCTATATTACGGTTAATTGCTATCCGGTTAACCAATGTCATGGTACGGTTAATAATATTATAAACATATTAACCGAAATCACGGTTAACCAAACATTGGTTAACCGAAATGCGGTTAACCAACCCGTGCCCACTCCTAGCCCTAACCATCTAAGGTGACGGGAATTCACCTTGGGTCTCTCTAGTATACGTATTCTTGGAGTTTTAATGGCAATAGCACATACTTCTTTTTCAGCACTTAACCCCACATCACTTCCTGTTATTTTCCAACCATAGCTAGTGAATTTGACCTTGCTAAAACCATAGTAGCAGGTGTTTTTTTCAGCAGCTTCCCAACTTCCAAATCCTTTTCCCAGCAGAAACGTGGGCCAAGACATTTACAATTTGTTCTTTTCCAGTGTTGGGATAGCAGCAGCTTTTTTTTTTTTGCAATTTGTTCTATAACAGAACCATTCAGTCCCATCCTCATACGAAAATACATTTACGCTGGTGAAACTATAAACACAAAACGTGCAGGCCAAATTCTAGCAACATTTGAAATATAAACTGAGGAAAGCTAAATCAGTTTTGGTTAATTTGAAAAACAACTCCAAAAAACGTTCATAAAAGATGAGCTCATGCTTGACACAGAGAATAAATTAGATGGTGTAGCTACAGGTCCCAAATTGGGAGGTCCATGAATGGTTTCTTGAGCCTTTCTTCTTGAGCATCGCACCAGGCTACAACAGCATCGCATAGTTTTGAAATGTCCGCAATCATGGCCCCTTGGATTTCAACCTGAGAGGGGAACTCCTTGGCAGCTTCAGGCAGTTCCATCCAAAACAGCAAACCTGGAGGACGATCGAGTAGCTCTTGCCATAGAAGCCTCCTTTGACCCCTATTTTTTATTCACCATAGCAGTCGTTGGATTTCAACCACGGCAGGAATCATTTAAAACTATATCAGTGAACTTGTCTGAGTCATTTAAGTCTCAAACCATCCACTAAATTTGATTTAAAGCATTTAAAACTGAAGAACAGTCTGAAAAGTAAACAGATAATGAACAGTAACCGCGAAATCGAAGAAGATGAGGCCATCCACCGGCCTGTGAGGGATGCCGGACGACTCTGTGACAGTCTGGAAGACAGGCGCCGCATCCACAACGAATCCCAGGCTCCCAGCCGCGGCTGTGAGCGCCCCATCGTCGGAAGTGTATAATGGGTTTTCTTCACTTGCTCGTGGTGGCTAGGCGTCTACGCCCAAAAGTTTCGTTGATCCGGTCGCGTGAATTGACGAACCGAGATCTCGTCCGGTCCGGTCGTGTGTGGTTGATATTAATAGATAAAGTAAGAATAAAGTAAGAATGATTTTGAGCCACACAAACTTTACCAAATAAGGTATGGGACAATTAAATAGGGACATCCCAATATGGTAAAATGGGACATTTAAAAGGGGACGGAGGGAGTGTATATTAGGTATATACATAATAGGGCTTTTTACCTAAATATTACTCTCTCCGTCCCTTTTTAAATGTCTCGGAAGAGGGTGACACGAATTTTAAGAAAAGTGAGTTTGTGTGGTTGACAGTAATTGATAAAGTAAGAATAAAGTAAGAATGATTTTGAGCCACACAAACTTTACCAAATAAGGTATGTGATAATTAAATAGGGACATCCCAATATAGTAAAACGGGACATTTAAAAGGGGACGGAGGGAGTACTAATTTAGAGACAAATTTCAAAAATGTGACCACTTTTATAAAAGGAAAAAAATGTGATCAAGGAAGTCATATATTTGGAAAAACACAATTCTACCATATTTTTATGTCAATGTTAGTTTTTTATGTCACTGATTTTTTGTCACTTTTATATGTCACTGCCGGTTTTTGTGTCACTTTAATATGTCACTCCACCATCAAACGTGTCACTGCCGCCGTCAAACGTGTCACTGTGTCGTTATCCATCTCCGCCCCGGCCTCTGGCCACACTGACATCTCCACTCAAGCATCCTGCCACAGTGACACACAAATCCGGCCACCGCCCTCCAGTCAGTTACCACCGCCTCCCCACCGCTTACACCACTACCCAGCCCCTACACCACCACCACTACCCCACCCCACACCACTGTCACTGTCCCCCCACTCCCCAGCCCTGCACTACCCCCACATCCCTAACCCACACCAGTTCTCGACCGTCGCTACACCACCCCAACTCCCTCCCTGACCTTCCAGCTCCCCATCTGACATCCCAGCCCCCTCCCCGACCTCCCAGCTCCCTGCGCCGCGACACAACCCTAGTCGACGTCGCACAACGATGTCCCCGTTACCCAGACCAAAACCTAGCTGCCTATGTCCACCATTTCCGCCTCCTAAACCCAAATTCTAGCCTTTGTTCGTATATTGACATAGCACCGTCCACCGCAGAACCATAGTCGCCATCCATCTCCGAACTCTAGCCGCCATAGCATTCAGAGCGAAATTCGTTCGTCGGCATTCGACAAAGAAGAAAGACGAAGAAGAGAATTGAGATGGAGATGGTATCAGACCTAGGGGCGGCCGACTTTGGCGGAGGCGGTGACCTATGTTGTCTTCGGTGGAGCTTTTGATCTGGTGGATGCGTAATTGCGTAGATGGAGAGGGCAGAAGATCTTGTGCGTGGATGTGTAGATCCGGGAGAGAGAATGCGCAGAGAAGGAATCAGGGATCAGGAATGAGTGGACTATCTTCTTACTCTCTTTTTTGTCCTTTCCAAATTTGGTCATATTTTTGTCTAATGAAACTTGAGAAGTAATACTCATGCCATTCTTTCTTTTTTTAAAATAGATGGCTCTTTTATTTTGAAATTTGTGATGTATTATATTGATTCTAACCCAAATGTGAATAAAAAAATATTGTTATTTTAATATTCAAATTACATAAATATTTAAAAATACATGTAGAAAATTTTGAAAGTGCTATTTTTTTACATATCCAATTAGTATTTGATTATAGTTGTTTTTTAGAAATCACTTAAAATTATTAACTTTTTTATATAAGCTGTACCGTGAGATAGGCATGCTTTGCTTGATTAGCTTAATCTCATATGGTTAATTTTTTTTAGTTCAATAGATAGTTATAAAAAATTTAACAATATTTTTCAGAGAAAAAAGGCGAACCATTGATTAAAAAAATAAGCAATCATTGGTCTCGTCTTCGGGTTTGAGATCTCCTTTGAGAGAAATTACAAATGGTAACTTCTCAGATTTGGGTATATGTATTTCTATCTATGTATGCAGTTCAATTTGTGTTTTGATTTTGCATCATTTCATATAGAGAATATTCCAGCAAGTTTTCAGTGTCATAACGTTAAGCGCTGTGTATATCTTCAGCATTTGTGGATTGTAAATCCACTTGAATGCCATCTACCTCTAAGAGGTCGATGTCATAAAGGTGATTAATCAAACCTTTTTCCTCTTTATATAGTTTTTAAATGTGGAATATGATTTTAATGTATAATAATTTTAGATGTAGGTGGTCCATCTCAATGAGTTTCTGAAATAAATAATTGTCTCAATGCATTATCTGAGAATGCGGATGCAATGGAATTGGGCATGCGGGGATTGGATTATTCCAATTTAAATGGCGGTGATGTTGAGATAAAAGGTGGATCCAATTATGTTCAAACTGGTAAATCTATCATCAAAAGTGCGATCTATATATATATATTTTGAAAAGTAAAATGTCAATTTAAAGAATAATGATTGTAGATGTAGGTGGCCCTTCTCAACAAATTCCTGAAATAAATAATTGTCGCGATTCACCGTTCGAGAATGCGGATGCAATAGAATTAGATATGCAAATGGTCAATCAATCCAACTTAAATGATAGTGATGATGACGAAGATGGAGATTTCAATAATGTTCTAACTGGTAATTTTATCATCAAACCTCAATCTTATAATATTAATATAATTAAATTGGTAATTCTAATAGTCTATTCATTATATTTAAACATACTTTTTGTGGTTGACACTGTTTGCATATTTTTAGGGTGTTTGGATGTTGGGGATCCTTCTTTCGTTTGTAGCTTTTGCGGAGCCTATTTTGGTATGAGGAGAGATTGGTTGCTTATTATAAGGCAAAAAATCCAAAGAATTTTGGGTGTTGTTTGCAAGGGAAAACACAACTAACGCTCATAAAAAGGCCTTCATTATTTATCGAAAATCTTTTTATGGGTCAAGATGAAAGGAGTAAACATTTTTTGAAAATATCCATTTATACAATAATATGTTCTCCTTCACATCTTTAGGTGAAAAAATTGATTCCACCTTGCATGACGGAAAATCCCCCCTGATATTTAAGCTTCATGGACAAAACTTTAATTAGATGGGGAGTTTGTTACCGTCTGAATCTGTGGTTCCCAAATTTGCACAACTGTACATGATGGAGTTTAATCCAACTACGAGAGCTATATCTACGAGAGCAGATGGAAATATGGGCAGCGTAAGGCAGTATTCTTATTCCGGAATCCGGTCCTTTGGTAGGACAACTACAATAAGTATTTATAGACTCTAGGAACTAGTATTCTAGGAGGAAACCGATACAATAAATGCTATTAATCGTATGTTAATCGAATAGGACTTCTGCAACGCATTGGACGTTGGGCAATGATTGTTCCTTGTCCATGTTTCTTCCGTTTATTCATGCCTGCTGCCAGATAGCTATGCACGAATGATAATCTGCCACATAAGCCCTAGGAAGACCCCCGACCTCGCTAGAACTCCGTCCAGGCTCGAGGTCTGCTGTCCAGCCTGGCCTGGTTGTGGGTACCTTTCACGGGTAGGATTCCTAGTTAGGCCCAGTGGCTAATTAATATTAATCTCGTTCATGGGCTTGGTCCCGTTAGGGCTGATCCCATTAAGGGATGATCCCGTTTGTGGGCTTTAATCATAATTCCGTAATTGGTCCATGGTCTTAATCCATGGTACCATCACGAGCCCCCCTACTCTCTAAAATCACCAGGGCTAGATTTTAGTACAGTAGAAATTTTTTGAATTTCGAATTTCCCCTTACGGTGACGTTTCTCATTTAATGCGAATAACATGTGCATGTCTTCACAACTTTCCACTTCGTCGTCCCATCTTCAGCACTCGAGTGCCTTGGTCGCGGTTCTGGAGCGGTTTACAACATTGGGGATCCCACTATAAAGGTACTCCTTCCCATCATTCGAACTTTCTGATACTTCGCATTTTCCAAACCCTAGGCAAGAAAGCTTCCTTCTTTGCTTCACTCCCTTTTCCAGGTCATCTTATCAATGTCTTCATCTAGTTTCATTCCTCTCCTTAGCTTCTTTCCCGACGATGGGGCCAATTCCAACCGGCCCAAGATCCCGGTGGACTTAGAGGGAAGAGAAACTCACTTTCATCATTCTGCCGAATTCGCTCGCGCGATTCCGGGCGCTGCCGTCTCTGACACCAAATTTAACACGGTCGCGGCCCTAGTTGGGCCCAGCATTGTCTGCACTTGCCCCTCCCCCGGTCAAAATATTGTAGATTCCCACTCTCCCCTTCATTTTGGGATTCACCTGTCCAGTCTTAAAATGGGATTGCGGTTCCCACTTCACTCTGCCCTTCTAAATATCATGGTTCATTATGGGGTCATCCCCGGTCAACTCACCCCACCACACATCTATTCATTGTCGGATTTATTGCATGATGTCTCTCTCTCCAAATCAGGCCAACCCTAGACCTATTCTTGACGTTCTTCCATTCAGTCCGATCCAGCGCTTCTGAGGCCCAGGGATTCTTCTCAATCTCCCAGAGGGCAGGCCACCGTCTCTTAAAAGCCAAGTCCTACCCGGATTCTTTTAAGAATTGGAGGCACAAATGGGTGTGGGTGACCCCGGCAGATGGTAAGCTGCAGTTTGAGAATATGTGGGGGTGCTAATCCGGCGGTGGGTCATGCCCATCCTGAATGAGGGGACCGGGGTCCGAGTATTGATAAATCCAAATTACAACACACATTTGATGCATGTTGGGATCAGTTTTTGATGTTTTCCTAACTTTAAGGTGTCACAAATCTCAATTTTAGCTTAAGTTATGCGCAATAGGCGTTGGTTCGAGTTTTATGTTGTTTGGAGTCAAAAATCAGATAATTAGATCTGGCACCGGCGCTTGAAAAGAAATCAAGAAGAGTTGATGAGCATTCAAGAGAGTTTCAAGAATTTTGGAGGTCTCCGGGAGGTTCACGGTGAAGAATTGATGAAGACAAGACATTTCGAATCGATCCGGGAGCACTCCGGAGCATTTGGAAGAAGAAACGAAGAGAATTTATGAAGAAAAGGCCACGCACGGGCGTGCC